TCCACAGTCCCTCTGACTCTGCGCTGCTTGCAGCGAGACAAGCAGTGGGTGCTTTGCTGGCCTCCTATAATTAACAACCATAGCCAAATCCAGCCAGGCATGACCAGCAAATTAACATGCAGCCGCTTTCGCACTCTGTCCCACAGATCTGCTCAATGAGCATAAAAACAATGTGGGGCCATTCTGAAAATAGCTCTAACCTACTGTAGGCTTGTTTCTTTTAATGGCTTTAACATTAGAGTGACTTTATCAAGACATTTTCAGGTTTACGTTGGACATAAGCACCACAGAATGATAACAGTGATGGCAAAGAGGAAAAATATAAGGCTGATGGGAAGGAGAATTTATTGCAATATAGCGATGGCGCTGAAAGGCTATTCTCCATTCTGGTTCTCCATTCTTCCTCGTCAGTATGAATTGGCAAAATCAACAATAAGCCAACATCAATTACAAAAGACTGTCTTCCGGAATTCAAATCCTTTGTACCATTTCCTCAAACCCAACAGCAATAAAACTTGCCATTGACACAAAGTTTACCCTTTTCAAAACACCCATTTTTTCCCTCTCCATATTGATAATAGTGCAGGATGCCCCCACCCTGAGGTCAAGAGTTTATGTGTCATGCTGGATCACACATCAGCATCCAAGGCTCACATCAATCACATCACTCGCTCCACTTATTTTCACTTTCGCGATATCAACCATCTCGTGAGCCCACTAATAATCTGGACAATATATTCCAACTAGATTTTCCCTTAACACAGTCATCCATGTCAATGTCTTTTTAACATCCTTATTTGATTATTTGCAACAAACTCCTCTTTGGTCTCAAAGCAAAGCTGCTATGTAAAGGACAACTATGGGAGATCTCAGCTGCCCACATCATCATAAGCACCCCATCCATCCCACACATTGCGCTTGTCCTTGCAATTTACACTGGCTTTGAGTAAATACTCAAAATACTGCGTTTGACAATTAAGGCTCATCATTGCCTTGTTGCTCCCAAAATCTCTGACCTCGGTGACACCTACACATTGGCTGCTCTATTCAGATCCTCCTCACCATTCCACCGGCAAATTAAACCATTGTGGGGTCGGGGTCTTTCAGCCACTGCTTTGATATCGCTGGTATTCTTCTCTGGTGGAGTCTCAAAAACGTAAATGAAGAAGAAACCCTCGCATCATACTTGCCCTCTGAGTTTTTATTTGAATTTTGAGACACAAATATTAGTCTGTTTCCAATATGTACCTTGACCTTTAAGGAGTTCAATTTTGGAGCTTCCTCGTATTGCTGTGTATTGTACAGACTAAATGCATTACTGTTACGCTGAAGAACAAATTTAATACAATTACAATTCCTTTGTGTTTTACAGTACAGTACATACATTACTCGGGGCTTTTTTTTGGGGGACTGTTTGACTATCATACTGTCTGGAACATATGGTGGGCAGATAACGTCATAATAAAAACCTGCTGGTATTTCACATTTTCCAGTCAACGAGCACAAATAGTCCGCGATGGCGAAATGAATACCAGTAGTGGATGTTGATGAACATAAAACAACATGAGCAAATACTCAGGACAGGTGCACTATAATGGAAGAAGAAACAACTCGGTTCCGGAATTTTATTGCAATGTAGAGGCATTTGATGCCGCAGGTTGCAAGACGGAACAAGAGATGCTCACTCATATCACTGTGAAACTTTTAACAATGCACTTAGCAAGGCATTAAAGTGAGCAGAAGTGCATTGCCACATCAGACTAAATATGTGATGTGCATTCAAATGCCATAGTTGCTCACAACAGTTCGGCCAGTCTAGCCAGTCGGGAGCATGGAAACTCCTCCCATGTGAGTGCTTTGCAAATCAACCGAGGAGATAAGTCCAAGGAAGAAAGATGAATGTAAACAGAGAATGTTGTACATGAAAATATGAAAACAGTTCAAAAGCATCAGTTGAGCTTGTTTCTATGCTAAATGTATTTTTGCAAATATTGGGAAACTGCTCATCTTCATCCAAAGTCGCCTATCCCAACTGACCTAGGGTGAGATGCAGGATACACATTGAACTAGTATCCAGTCACTCTCTGTAGACACATGCCTTTTTGCTCCAAAAAAAAAAAAAAAAAATGGTAACTGTAATTACATCAAATCATAGACTCTGTCAGTCACACGGGGATATTTAATATTTAACGGCGAAGGACATTTCAAGAATGTTGCAAGAGAAGCATAAACCTTTTTGGTGGCTGTTTGTCCAAAGTCAATCCGATATAAATTGTGATATTCGAGTAATATTTTTGAATGTCATTCCAAAAACACCTTTTTACAAATAAATATCTGCTTCCAATACGTGAGCAGCATCAAATACTGCAGGAAATCTACAGAATTGTATGTTTTTCTTTTTATCCGACAATGAGTTGCTGGTGACAAAATATGAGGGACTTAACTGGAATGACTTCAATGCATTATGATGGCCCTTAACTTGGCTTGAAGATTTTTCTCCCCCCCGAAGAGAATCCCCACAGCTTTTAATTGAGGACCTGCGATATAGCAATATTTGTGTGCAGAAGAAAAATTGAGTCCATGCACACTTTTAATAAGATCCAGTTTAGAAAGCGCCTATTGCCCTGATATTAATTGCATTTATTCTTCCCATAATTCCCTCGAGTCAACTTTTTCCATCTACACACTTTCAGCCGAGTACACACTGACCCACTTTTGTCTGTGTAAAGGGCAAATGTTATCGAGTCCACCATATGCTAGCAGTCATCCAAAGTAGGTGTTGAGCTATTTTGCTGAAATTAAATTGAATTGAAGCAATTTGTACTGTTTGTATGTTTATATGCAGGGCTCCACAGTGGACTGTAACCTCAAATTTAGGTGCGCACATGAATTCCAAATTGACTTGCAAAGTAAATATTCACATTTCCACTCATTTTCACTATATTGCTGATAAATGGGCGGAATTGTGGGGCAGAGGTTTGTCAGCAATCGGAAATATTCAAGAATTACCGGTAAAAAAAAAAAAAAAATCTGCAAATGCATATTTCTTGGTCACACGTGCACGTAGATGACAAATTTTGTAGTAGTATATGCCACCATTTAGGGGCACTCTGCAACCCTGACATATGCATTTTTCTAAAAATATATATGATCAATGAATACAGTATGACGTTGAAATCGTCTTGGGAAAAAACCTTTGCAATTCAAGACTAATATTGCAGATTACAAGCATGTACAATGGTAAACTGAGGCATTGTTAAGCAACAATTACACATTTAATTAAAGCCGTGCGATACAACGATAAATATTCTAGAGCAACATAAAAACGTTGAGCATACAACGTAACCGTACGTCGTCATTTTGATGTGTGGGGTATTAAAATCTGTTGCTACACCAATATAGCGTCCATTATGATAACACAACAGTTGCCTTTCTATTACATCATCGTTTTCCCTCACTCTCCAGGCATGACCTACGCTCAATCCAAGTTTTACACGCATGGATCAGTTCGATTAAGTGTGGGTTGATTAGTCATGCCTGTAGAATAGGCGCTGGGAAGACGTGCTAAAGAGGCAAAAGTTATGTTACTTTGGAACTGACTTTGATAAACTGAGTCTGTGCAATGAATGAAGGCTAATGTGACTGTAGCAATGCTCATCCTTTGTGGCAGCGTGTTTTCATCACACACAAATACTTGCTGAGGCACTGGTAGAGGAGCTTGGATGTAGTCAACATTGTGCATTACATAACAACACATGAACCTACACACAAAATGTGTTGAGTTCCTCGAAAACTGGTTTTACAACCAGATATTATGAATGGTAAGTTTTCCCACTGGATTTTGTGTTTTATTGTATTTTTATTTATCGTACATTCATTTTATTATGTTTTTATATAACAATGTGTTTTATACATACATGGATAAAACATAAGAGAAAAATGCAACTACTTTAATATAATATAGCTATTGGGATAAAAAAAAAATCTAAATATAGGGAGAATCAGATTTTGTTTGTATCGCACACCACAAGATCTTTTCATAGAAGAGTCATATCTTTAAATTCTGCCTTTACTAAGATACTAATGCCCAGTTTTAATAAACCTCTATCCCACAGGTTTTATTCATATAGTAAGTTTATTATTTTGGTTGTAAATTGCAGTGGTATGTTTCTACTGGTATGTTGTCCCACAGGTTTTATTCAACAATGTAGTAAGTTTATTATTTTGTTTGTAAATTGCAGTGGTATGTTTCTACTGGTATGTTTGTAATGTTTTGTAGCGATACGAGCATAGAGGCAAAATGTTTCAATATCCCCTGCAAGCATGCTGCGGTATCATTCTACTGCACAACAAACTACAAACCCTATAAAATTCAATTTTCGTTAAATGGTCCAAAAGCGATTATTATTTACAACAAAGAAAGTTCATCCAACCACACTAAAAACATGTAGCGACAGAGAAACCAAGTAAATGCTCTTCTATTTACTGTCAGAAGGAACATACTTGACCTCAGGAGGTGGGTTTTTTTGTAATGTAAAATATGCGCCATGGATCAGCAAAGGTGAGGTAACAATGTTATACTGTAATTGCTCGGCAAAATAAATAAATAAATCTTCCACTCCTGTAATGTTTCCCAAATTCAGTTTGTAATTAATATCCTAGCTCATTAGATAAATGTGCGCAGGAATTCAAGAAAATGTCAATTGTAGTATCATTTTCAAATGCATAATCTCCAGGTATGCAAGTTGAGATCAGTTGCTCCAAGCAGTAAAGATGAGCTATTGACAGCCAGCCAGCCAGCCTGCAAGACAGTCGCCTGGTGTCAGCTAGCAGCTCGATTAGCTTAGCCTCGATCGGCGATGCAGAATTAAAAAAAAAAAGCAGCCAGCCAGCCAGCCTGCAAGACAGTCGACTGGTGTCAGCTAGCAAGCTCGATTAGCTTAGCCTCGATCGGCAATGAAGAATTAAAAAAAAAAAAAACACGGTATCATTTCACTCACCCAACAGTGAGCGCAGGTGCTTCAGCCGCGTCAGAACATCCTTCTTTGGGTCCAAAACTTTCTGTGTAGATTTCTTGACGTCTCCATGGCCCCTTCGAGTGAACATTCCGCTGTCAAATACAACCGTGGAAGCCGATCACCTGTGTTGTTACCGAGGCTCCAGTGTGACTGTCACTTCCCTCACCACCACTCGATGCTTGCTCGGTAAACATTCGCCCAACAGCCGCCAGTGTTTTTTCCCCCCTTCTTTTTTTCTGGCTGGAGTGTAAACACGGAAGCGCGTCTGACAGCGACGAGTGGTCTGTCTACATGAGTACGCCTCCTGGTTTATAACCTTATATTTGTGTCGACATATGGACGGTTTTTATTCAAACTGAAATATGTCGGTTATCCATCATACTGTTATTCTGTATTTTATTGTATATGCATTTTTTTAAGATTACACTTCACATTTTCAATTCTTCGATCGTGCATTAAAATGCCCACCAAGTAAAACACGCTTGGAAGCTAGAATCAATCAACATATATGAATCTATATTTTGCGAGTCGATTTTATGCAACAAAATAAATGTTATATTTGCGGTTGACGACTCATGGCTCCGAAGCGCCTCCTGGTGTTTTGCTGTACAAACTAAGTCACGAGATGAATTTGATCTACAGCAAACGTCCCCGGAAATGATGCATTTTATACGTCAGATAGTCATGCTGTGTTCGCACATTTGACGTAAAATGTGATGGTAAATTCTAAGTGTTAAATGAAGTTGGGGAAGATAATTCATTAATATGCACATAACATCAGTGACGCACGGCTTGGAAAAAATTGGGGATGTTGGCTTGTCATTTGAATTGAATAAACCTAAAATATAACCTTTCAACTAAATATAATCGATAATACACTTTTCTATGATATTCTAATTTGTTACGATTTACGTGTACAAACAAGCGCACAGCTAGCAGTACATCACATAATATACTAATGCACCATCGCATAGTTTTATTTTTACAATAAAAACAGTTTCAAACGTCAACATTTATTCAATCCACTGCAAACCTTTTGTGTCCTTGTACTTTATTTCACCATGTAAAGAAGGCCAGACGTCCACCATGGCACCCCTACGGCCTCCTAGGCCATGGGATGACCTGACCCTGACCTGAAAGAAGGCTGGACTGAGATCACATCTCTTTAAAGGGGAAGTCATCCCCAAAATTTTCTTGACAATATGTTCTTTGCAGCCCTCTGAGTTCAAACACTGCATTCTGGTTATTATGGCATTTGTGGAATGAGTTAAACAAAAAAATCCAATGTGTGTGTGTGTGTCTGTGTGTGTGTGTGTGCGCGCACCCGGTTTTTGTATTTTTCTGCCTGTGTGCACCAACACCTGACAAACAACCTTTGCTGTAAGGATGTTTTTACTTGTGAGGACAGTTTACATACTTGTGTGTAATTAATTTCATTTGTCAGATTTGCATACTTAATACTTCTTGAGACCAAGTAGGTGGCTACACCATACCCTTTTTCGCTGGCGTCTGCAAAATGGTGAAGCCGTGCTGAAGTAATTTCTCAAAAGTTGACTGGTTTAATGAATCTTTTTACTTCAAAGTTGGTTAAGTGGCATAAGCTCATCACCTACTGTTGCCACTGCATAGCCAGGGCCTCTGGCTAGGCTGTGCCTTTCGCTGTCAGTTTAGGTACTCTTAGTGGCTGATTCGATTTCCATTTGCTCCATTGAAATTGAGTTGCCTTGATACTTTCAACATGATGAATCCTCTTACTTTAGCTTTGCAGGTCGCTGGATGACATCACGTGATGTGCTTGCTCACTTGAAGCACGCCACAAATGTCTAACAAAGTCCACGAAATGAAGTACAATATTTCCAAAATATCGCGCCGTGTTGATCCAAAGGTGCCGAGGAAAACCAAGCGGTCCTTTGACGGCGTTCAAAACAACAAGCCAATTCCCGTTCTTCCTCTTGCTCCTCCAACAGCGGCACACGAGCAAGCACTAATTGCCACCGTGTGTCGAGGGTATCCTTTCGATCCTCTTGCGGAGCAGCTTTTCTGACTTCAATGTAGCGGCAACTTACTGTCCTTTTGTCGCTACGTCCGCTGGGCATGTAGGTTCCCAACTCGTGCCTTTCCTCAACGGGCCTTTCTTTCAGCAACGACGACAACGGAAACACGAGGCTGCCATTGTTGATACAAAAAAAGGATTCGCTTTATTTTCTCGAACACAAATTAGGGTTTACCAAAAAATGAAAAACAATTTATAATTAATAATTTATACATAATACTTAAATGAAACACGTTATTTACACAAAACACGTTCTTAACACATATTTCAGGGATGAGAGTGGCTAGTGATGAAAAAAAAAAAGAAAATCAGCCGTACATTGGCGAGTTAAAGTGAACTGTCCGGGTTGGTGGAAACGTGGCTTTGTTCACATTGGACTGTGTGGTTTTTAAACCCATCCAAAATGATCCTCCAACTAGAGACCATCATCACACTAAGGATTTGTGGCTGTAAGTGCTGGCCACATACCAACCCTCCAGAACACTCCGTGGTGACACAAATTTCCTTCTCCACTGGGGAGTTCCTGAGGTCTCTCAAGCAGAAAATTGCTGTTAGGGCATTATCATGGATTACGCCAATATGGTTGGCGGCAGGTCCTGAGCTCTCTCTGAAAGATGCGTCAATGCCACCACTGTTGCTGAGCTACAACGAGGCAGGCCGGGCCTATCTACCATGACTCCCACAATCCTCTTTTGACAGCCTCGGATGAAATAGCGTGCTCCTATTATCAATAGCCCACTGTAATATGCATGGGGAACAATATCCCGGCCCCTATTTTTTTATTTTTAGCTGCGTAACTGTCAACAACATTGCACTGAACTATGCCAGAATATAGCACAATCAAAATATTTGTTGAATTTTGTAAAAATCCGCAAAGACCAAATGCTACATACAAGTGAGGTGCGTCCTTGAGGGCTGAGTCGGGACTGTGCCGATTTGCACCAGATCCAGTTTTCCTTGCAGTTGCTTCACCTTCGGGCTCATCATCCTCCGACTCAGATTGGGACATAGAAATGGTGAGGTCACTCACAGTGCTCTCCGACAACTGCACATCAGAGCTGGAGTTGAAACTTTCAGATCTCCCTGAATGGAGGCAAAGAGGAAAGTTACAAGTCCTATTTCAAATCTACACAATGCAAGAACAAATGCAAGCTGGAGCAGGAAATACCCCAAAGTACACATGATAAGAGAAAAGCACATTTCCAACCTGAGATATTTTCAGATTTTCTTGCAGAGGATGTTTCAGGCATCAAATGGCTAAAACCTCCCCCTCGATTTTCCATTAAGGGTGTCTGAGGAGCAATCGCGGTGGAGTTAGCGTTTTCGGCAGGGGGATTCGGCAGCTCTGTTGGGTTATTGCTGCTGCCTGCAGACGGATTCCTCTTGGGACTCTTCAAGGTCACCCGGGGTTCAGGTTCTTGTTCATCATCATTTGCAAAAGGCACGGGTGCACTTTGAGTCACCCTTTTCCCGTGTTTGTCAGCCAAATTACAGCTGTTGGGAGAATTGTCTCGAGCTGAAATGTCATCTGATAAATGTGCACGATTGGCGGTGGTCCTCTCTGACAACTGGAAAGTCCTTCAAAGCGCCACTTGGTAGTCGTTTGCCGGGGCACATGCTTCGATTGGGCGAACAGTCCACTGCTTGGTGTGAGAGTACACTTGTGATGCCGGTTGCACGGTAGGCCCCTCTGGAGGCTTGGCGGCCAATTGACATGACCGCAGGTGCATTTGTAAAATCCTCTGTGATGCAAGAAAGGCAGCTGTCCTTGCAATCGCCTTGAACAGATTTCAGATGCAAATTTGAAGGTAAAAATTGTATTCATACCACCGCCGTATTAAATGTTTATTTTTCAAGATAAAACACAGAACAGTAGCAAAATAACTTTATGAAGTCTATTTTGAGAGTTTTTCATGTCAAGTAGGCTAAATATCCACTTTTTAATTTGAATGAGTGTAGCGTGTTTGGGCCAAGGTCAGAATTCTCTCGACTACATATCTCAAAAGAATGTCTCAGGATCAATGTTTTACCTTTTAACCGTATAAGAAATCCTTTACACAAGTTGTGATTCATGTCAATGTCACCAAGGGGAGGTTGGGGGAGGGGGGGTGGGGGGGGTGAAGGAGGCAAATACGCTCCCTCCAAATACAATAACAAAAAAAAAACATCACTTTCTGGTCAGCGTCTTAAATACCAAACAGTTAGCTGCTTAATAACATTCATTGTAAACCATACAAACCACCCAGCAGATCCACAAAGTATCAAAAAAGAGGACAAGTTAATTTCCTGACTGAGTCATTCCATCGGTAGCTGCAGGGCAAAGAAGAAAGTGACTCACAAGTACCATATTTTCCGCACTATAAGGCGCACCGAAAAGCCTTCCATTTTCTTAAAAGCTCACGGCACGCCTTAAAATCTGGTGCGCCTTGTGTATGGTCATTATGGTCATGTATCGACCCCAAAATGGCTCCTTGCTGGAGACATGCTTACAATGTGATAACGTGCTGTTGGTTCAGTGAACTGTGTCGCTGCTTTATTAAATATGTTTTTGTTGCAGCTCCGAAAAAAGGAGAGCTGTGGTGTTATTTCATGACTACAGGCCTGTTGCACTTACGCCTGTAGTCATGAAATGCTTTGAAAGACTGATCTCACAGCACATCAGAGCCTGCCTGCCTCCTACTCTAGACCCTTACCAGTTTGCCTACAGGGCTAACTGGTCCACCAAGGACGCTATAAACATAGCACTTCACACCGCGCTGAGTCACCTGGAGCACCCGGGAAACAACGTGAGGATGCTCTTGCTGGATTTCAACCACATCATCCCAGATACCCTGGTCCAAAAATTGACTCACTTGGGCATCTCCACCTCCATCTGCCAGTGGGTTAAAAATTTCCTCACGGACCGCCCACAGTCCATCAAACTGGGCCCCCACTCGTCCTCCACCATCACACTCAGCACCGGTTCTCCTCAAGGATGTGTACTGAGCCCCCTGTTGTTCACTCTCTACACATTTGACTGCTCTCCGACCCATCTCTCAAACACCATAATTAAGTTTGCGGATGATACGACCGTGGTCGGACTCATCTCAGGGGGGAATGAGTCTGACTATAGATACGAGGTAAACCGACTGACATCGTGGTGCCCAGCAAACAACCTGCCACTGAACACCACAAAAACAAAAGAGATTATACTGGACTTCAGGAAGGGATGAGCAGACCCAGC